TCATATGAATAATTACAGACTATTCATCTGTTGAATCGATTCACTAATAAGATCAAGATTTTCTTTATATAATTTGGTGTCCGGATGTGTTGTTAAAAGTGATTGCGAAGCAATATTAACGGCTTTTTGCGAATGTTCATATGCTTCTGATAAACGATTTAAACGCATAAGAATGATGGCAATATTGTTATGAGATAAAGCAATCAATGGATGTACCGATGGAAGATGTTCCAGTCGAGTTTTCAATGAATGCTCATGATAAGATAATGCTTCTTCATACTTTTCTTGCGCTGCCAATACACTGGCCATATTGTTATAATAGGTACTTAACCATTCTTTTTTAGGATATTTTGAGGCTAAGTCCAATTGATAAGCATGTTGAAAGTGTTGTTCAGCTAAATCAAGCTTACCTTGATTCAGATATATTAATCCAAGATTGATGTAGATTGAACTGAAGGAAGGATCATTTTCTGACATATGTTGTTGATCAATTTCTAGTGCTTGCTGATAGAAATCATGTGCTTTTTCAAGGTCATTCTTCTTCCAGCATATCATTCCCAAACGATTAAGTATTCCCGAACGACGTTGCCATTCGTGTTCCGCTTTCAATGCTTCCAAATACAATTTTTCTGTTTGTTCATATTTACCCATTTCCCACATTAATTTACCTAATTCAATTAATAAATTTTGTGATTTAATGAAATTTCTCATATATTGAGTTAGACTAGTTAATTCTAAATCTCTCTCATGTGTTAAATGAAGATTAATATACCATATTCCATCATTGTTCAATTTCATCAACCAACCTATTCGAAATATAGAACCAACTGAAAAGAGCCATTCTTTTTCTTCTTTATGAGCACTAATTCGATGAATATTGGCAAATTTAACATTATTCTTCACTAAACGATTTATCTCTATAACAAATATTACTCGAGTTTTTGTTGGATCATTAGCATTGCCATTTGCAAATACTTTTGCAACGTCCAAATTGTCGCTGCACGAGAGAAAATTATCGAAAAATAATAAACCACCCTGATTTTTTTTCAATTCTTCAAATTCATTATTTTTCATTTGTTGACCACGATAGAGAGTGATATTACAACGCAAATTGGATTTAGAATAGAGTTGAGCAATTTGTTCATGAATATGTCGAATGTATGTACGCAACGCATAAATTGTATCTATATCTTGTATGCGTAACGCTTTATTCAGCATTCTATATAGGAAAGTTTCCATCGTATACCATGTAATAGGCAATTTTTCTTTATACTGTTGCTCTATTGCTGAAATTTCTTTGAAAATAAATTCGTTTTCGTAATACTGATACTGTGTTCGACAATATTCAAACATTTCATTCAAATTATTATCTTTCATTCGTAGAAGAATATCCCGAAATAGTTGAGTATACATAACACTGGAATTTTGTTTGTTATTTGTTGTTGACGAAGTCGAATTTTTTATATAAATAGATCCGACAAGATTATGTTCGCATTGCCTAATATCTGTTCTCAATTGTTTTATCAAATTTGTTATCTCCGTGAAAACACCTTTCACCTTATACAAATTCTTTCTCCATTCTGCACTTAATTTGATTGACATATTTAACAAATAGATTGAGTCAACTTGTGCTAGATTACGTGTTGCAGCGAGGATTTCTTCGGCAGATTTTCCACTAATAATTAAAAATATCGTTTCATCATTAATATTGTGAATGTATGTCAGAGCAGTCGAAATATTTTCAAATACTCGTATTATATTGATGACTTTTAGGAGGTTGGTTTTCAATTCTTGATCAACCTTTTGTTTTTCAGTCGTGTCAGATAGCCAGACAACAATGCAGTTTTCAATACTACGATTGACGACAGGTGAAGTTTTAGCAAGTTTATTACTTGATGTTTCTGAACTATCGGAATAGATAATATCCGGCGTTGAATTTTCGTGAATCCGTGCCTCGAAAACAAATTGCTCGGGAGTCCCCGATCTAATGTACTTTGAGGAAGTTTTGCTTGATAAATTCCCAGTCTCCATATTAAATAGAGCGACAAAAAGAAATAAAATGGATTTTCACACAATAATCACAAAAAAATCGACTGAATATGCCAATTTTATGAAACACAACCAAAACAAAGTGTCAAGATATAGAGCTATAATTTCACTGTATTGCTGAATTTAAAATTGTGACAAGATGAAATTCTCTAAAAGAACATAGGTATTAGAATAGAGATAAAGAGATCTAAACGTATCAGTTTATAGCAATTGAGATATAAAGTTATAGATGTATAAAGGTAAAAGGCTGCAGCTACAGAAGTATAAGGCTATAGGCATTGAGGTATACAGATGTGAGGATATACCCATAAATGTATGGAGGTACACAAGAATAGAGTTGAAGACGTGTAGAGGTTTAAGGCACTATTTATTCTGGTATACAAGTATGAGGCTATAAGTATAGAGGTATAAGCAAAGTGGAAGAACATAATCAAACATTCGCTGCCATTTCCATCCATATCGAGACATTCTAAATCACATTTTTCTTAGTTAAAACAGATTAGATAAATTTTGAACTGAAGAGAGAAGATCTGCAAGTGTGTGCCTCTGTTTTCCATCGACTTTATATAAGTACTAGGCATGCACTAAGCCCGAATTCATCCAACTGCTTAACGTTATGTTTAAGTCATTTTTTTTTCTCAAGCTTTTTCATATTCAAAATATTCTTTGTGTTATTTACAAAAGCACAAAAATACATCTATATATCACAATATCAAATACCAAATTCAAACTATCTAGTAAAAGAGGTGTCATATTATGGATCTGATGTACCCATTCGAAAATCAGCATTTAACTCTGATTATTTTTCACAGGTTTTATTTTATTTTATTACAACTCGACTTTTGACGCTTGAAATACTTCGAAGCTATGTAAAAACATGCGTATTAGTGCGACTCTTTTGGAGTTAAAGTGTAGACCTTACATATATTCTCTAGACTTACCTTACTGATAAAAAATACAAAAAGTGCAAAATCTCCCATAGACTATATTTTTTTTGTCAAAGATAATTGATAATCAGAGTAAAGCTCTGTCTTATTTATTTCTATATTTCTAACAAATTTTTTACCGATGCACAATATTTCTTTTGCCTTATTGCTATTCGCTCTTCTTTTTCCAACTTTATATTTTGCATTTCCTAGTTTAACATTGTTTTTATTACAAGTATAGAGTGATATAGTAAATAAGGTTTTTATAAATTTGTATCAGACTACGTGTTATAGAGCTCTTAGATTGTAACGTGAATTGATAAAATATGGTGATATTTTTCGGGTTGATCCACTTTCAATAACTTCAACTTCAATCTTAACTTTAATTTTTTGAAATTCCTCGATATTATTTAAGTTTATTACCTATTTATACATCTCCAACACATACACAGGAGAAACACGAAGGTAGATGATAAAAAGAGAGAAGGAGAAATACAAGATATTGTTGATTTGCGTCGCATTAGGCTCAACAATAATGAAGATATCAAAAAGATTTATGGAAAGCATTGAAAAATTTTAAAAGAGATCGAAAAAACATTAGAATAAGTAATTAATCTTATATATTTGTTTTAAGTTATGTCCAACTTTAGTTGAAATTGAGCTAAACTTAAGAAGTTGTACAATTCTCCAGTATTTTCTGTTAAAATCTAGTTGAGTTCTGAAATCTGAAAAATTCGAAGTAACTAGATCTATGTGAGTATTCTCTTTCTTAAAATACAATATAAGTAGAATACTCAAAATGAAAACAGCAATAATCACTAATTTCTTAAAACAAATGAATCATATATAACGGTTGTGAAAACAGCAGATAATACATAATCAATCAAACATATGATTTAACACTCAATCAGTAGTATACTTCAAATATGTTGCTGTGCACTAATAGAGTTCTCTTGTTGATAAGTACTACAATGCCTATATTTCAGCATTGATCAATTGATTAAAGAATACCCATTATAGTTACGCAGGCAGAAAACGCTCAGCTGACCAAAAAAAAGAAAAAAAATCTACATGTTTTGAATTTTAATTATAAAATACTTGTTTCAATGCTTAGAAACGACCTTACTGATAATGTTAATAAGATAGGCTTTTGCAATATTTTTCTTTTTGTGACATCCAAAAAAAAAATGTTTTTATAAACAGTTGTAAAAAATATCGATTATAACAACTATAGATCATCGATAAACTGTCTAGCTATTTATTGAGTTATGCATAAGTTATTTCAACATGAGTACACTTATAAACGTCTTACCTCACTTCATATATTAACACCAGTTTATTAGTTTTTCTATCAGATATTAAATGTTTCAAGCAAGTATTTTGCGCCACAAAACATGTGCACAACATGACGATTTAAAATCTGAATCGTAGTTTGATGAACATTTAAATATTTAACATGTTCACTTGCTTGTTTGCAAAATTGTTTTCGAAATTGAATCTCTGATATTGAAAAGGAAGTCATTACTATACTTGCAATGCGATCGAATAGATGAAAATGAATGTTTTTCCTATTTTATTGTAAGTTTACTTAAACAAATAGTTGAATTTGTTTTTTCAATTACTAATGAGGACAAGAATTAATAAAAAAGACTTTGATCTTTCTTGTCTACCCACAATGAATACTGTCTGGATTAAATTTTACCTGTTACACATACTTAATTCGAGTCGACCTTTTCATCGCGTGCATTCCTGGAGGGTACCATATTTCGTCAAATTCTGATGCGGATAAGTCGGGTGATCGTTGAATGAGCTTCGATTTGTGGATCACTGATTGATTAGAAGACAAGTCTTCCTCTCATTCATCCATATATGACCTCGCCTTCACTCTCAGACCCATCTTCGAAGATTTTTTCAGACTTTCAGGCAATACATCCAGTTTGATTAAACGCCTATATCCGTTTTATAACAGTAAGTCCTAATTTTAAATGAGCCTGAGAAATTCTACTTTAGTTTGAACAGAAATAATGTGATGTTTTTTGTTTCGAGATGACTTTGTTTCTTACCGGTGAATAGAGAGCAGAAGATAACAACATTGTGTGCATTTCGTCTGCGCACGTGCTTTTATAGAGTAAGCGACGAGAATATTGTTTTTCGTTCTTGAATGCGTCGAGGAAACTTTTGCTTTTATCATTCTTCAATATCTCGAGCGAAGAAATGCAAAGAGAATAAAACTTGCAGCTGTTACAACTACTCTTATGCTATGAGGGCACGGTAAATTCTGTTTTCCAGGAAATTCAAAATTGGCTACACCTAAAGTGCAGGAGATTGCAATGAGCAGTATTAATGTGACAATGTCCAGAGCTAATTTTCATATATAGAGGAACATTTTATATTATTATATATAACTGTTCTGATACCATTTCATAAAAAAATGTGTATATAACAGATCTCTATTAAAGGGTGATCCAAAAGTCTTGGTACCTCGCAGAAAAAATCCCTTTTCTCCCTTACAACAAATGAAGAAAAGCTCAAAATTGGACTGATAGTCAATCATTACCAGATGAATATTACCCTAAATTTCCACAACTATAACTCAAGTTATAGTGAAGATATATAACTTTGAACTAATAGAAAATTTTTTTCGCATGACGAAATTAAGTAACGGATGCCCATGATGACTCCCGTATATTGTATCTTTCTTTTTCAATTTCTAATATCTTTCTTGAAAACACAAAATATACCAGAAGATGCAGCTTGAAAAGCTCTGCAACCTACAATGCAAAGCTTATTTTATATATGGTCCTTTGGTACACATCAGAGATGCCAACAGGCCACTTTTTTCCGGCCTGACCTGGCCTGACCTAGCGTACAGGCCAGGCCAAAAACCAAAGAGTGGCCTGCGGCCTGACCTGGCCTGGCCTGACCTGCAGGTCAAACCAGGCCGATTGATGTTTCTGATTTTTGAAATTCATTAAATTCAATAACTCTGTACTAATCAGAGCTGCCGGCAGACCACTTTTTTGCAGCCTGGCCTGGTCTAATTCATATTGCCTGCAAACTTCGAATATGAAT